ACTGTTAGGAGCAGATCTTATGGCATGTGATTTAAGTGGATCTGAATTTGAAAACGTCATAATAAGTGGAATGAATTTAAATTAAGCCAAGTTACTTAATTGTAGATGGAGAAACTTAGATATAAATGAGGGTATTAAGCTAAATGGCCATGTCGATAGGGTCAATTCAGTTTGCTTTTCTCCAAATGGTAATTTATTAGCTTCAGGCAGTGATGATAATTCTATTTGTTTGCGAGATGTGAAAACAGGAAAAATTAAGTGCTTAGTATAGTTAGAGAAGAAGGTAAAATCTATCAACTTCTCACCTAAGACTAAGGGTGTAACGTTAGTCTCTTGCAGTGATCAAATTGTACATATATGGAATCTCATAACAGGGAAATAAATATCAAAAATAATTGTTAATTTTTAGGTTGTAAATACTGTCATCTTCTCTCCTGATGATACTACGTTGGCAACTGGTAGTGAAGATAAGTCTATCAGTTTATGGGATGTTAAGACAAGATAATAAAAAGCCAAATTAGGTGGTCATTCAAATAGGATTACATCAGTCTGTTTCTCTCCTGATGGTACTACATTAGCATCTGGTAGTTCAGATAATTCTATCCGTTTATGGGATGTTAAGACAGAAAAATAAAAAGCCCAATTAGATGGTCATAAGAGTCAAGTCACGTCAGTCAGTTTCTCTCCTGATGGTACTCTATTAGCATCTGGTAGTTACGACTATTCTATTCGAATATGGGATGTTTAGACAGAATAATAAAAAGTCCAATTATATGGTCATACTGGTTATGTTCAAACAGTATGTTTCTCTCCTGATGGTAAGACATTAGCATCTGGTAGTTGTGATACAACTATTCGTTTATGGGATGTTAAGCAAGGATAATAAAAAGGAAAATTAGACGGTCATTCAAATTATGTCACGTCAGTCTGTTTCTCTCTGACGGTGCTTTATTATCATCTGGTAGTAATGATAAATCTATCTGTTTATGGGATCTTATACCTAGATAATAAAAAGGGAAATTTGATGGGGATAATAACATAGTTTCTTCATTCTGTTTTTCTCCTGATGGTACTACATTAGCATTTAGTTGTAGTGATAAGTCTATCTGTCTATGGGATGTTAAGACAAGTTAATTGAAAATCAAATTATATGGTCATACTTATAGTGTTATGTCAATCTGTTTCTCTCTTGATGGTACTACATTAGCAACTGGCAGTGTAGATAAATCTATCCGTTTATGGGATGTTAAGACAGGAAAATCATAAGCGAAATTAGTTGGTCATACTAGCACAGTTTATTCAGTCTATTTTTCTCCTAATGGGACTTCTTTAGCATCTGGTAGTCAAGACTACACTATCTGTTTATGGGATGTAAAGACAGGGTAATAAAAAGCCAAATTATATGGTCATAAAAGTTGTGTTCAATCCGTCTGTTTCTCACCTGATGGTACTATATTAGCATTTGGTAGTTATGATAACTCTATCCGCTTATGGAATGTTAAGACAGGATTATACAAAGCCAAATTATATGGTCATTCAAGTTGTGTTAATTCAGTCTATTTCTCCCCTGATGGTACTACAATAGCGTCTGGTAGTGATGATAAATCTGTCCGTTTATGGGATATTAAGACATTATAATAAAAAGCCAAATTAGATGGTCACTCATATTCAGTCAAATCAGTTTGTATCTCTCCTAACGGTACTACATTAGCATCTGGTAGTGGAGATAACTCAATTCGTCTGTGGGATGTTAAGACAGGGTAATAAAAAGGCAAATTAGATGGTCATTCTAGTATAGTTACATCAGTCTGTTTCTCTCCTGATGGTATTACATTAGCATCGGGTAGTGCAGATAAGTCTATCAATTTATGGGATGTTTAGACAGAATAATAGAAAGTGAAATTAGATGGTCATTCAAATTCAGTCAAGTCAGTCTGTATCTCTCCTAATGGTACTACTTTAGCATCTGTTAGTCATGATAACTCAATTCGCTTATGGGATATTAAGACATTATAATAAAAAGCCAAATTAGTTGATCAATCAAATTGTGATTCGTTGAAAACTATCTCTACTGACGGTGCTACATTACGATCTTGCAGTGAAGATTACTCTATTCGTTTATCGGATGTTAAAAAGGCAAAGGAGATTCTGCCTCAAGATAATTTATAAAAGGACCTTCTTTCTCAGTTTTAAATGCAACTTCAAAGTTATTCCCTTCTATAATATTGTATTTATTTTAATTATTCTTTAGCTAACTTTGATCGTACAATACTCAGAATTTGTTAAAATCCAATTTTGGAAGTCAAAGGGGCTTTAATCTTGAAGGGAGAATTTGTAAATTATTAGCGAATAGATTTGCTATAGTTGTTTTAATCAAAAGGAAGTTTTGATTTAGGAAGATAAAATGCATAACAAAAATAATATCATTGATTATTATAAATAAGCATTACATTAAATACAATTTCACATTAGTTGTATTATTTATCATATACCAAAAAATATAGGTCTGTAAGCAAAAGGTATTTATTCTTTTATTATAAAATTCGATTATCAAGAATTTTTAAACATAAAGTCAAGTAAATATGAATCAAGATATTGATTGAAAAGCTTTTAAAGGTCAACTGACATAAATAAATGTTTACAAAAAAATCAAATGTTAAATTTGTTGTACACATCTCTATTATTTGTTTTTTCTAAGGAAAAATAGAACATTAAATTTTAGATTCATGAAGGAAATACATTTGATTTTATTTATTAAAATATTTAGATCAAAGAGTAATTAATGTAATTAATAGTATTTCGATGAAATACAATTAATTTTTTTATTTTTTTGAATTTAATCACCAAATAAATTAAGATTACAACCACAGATATAAATGCAAGTAAATTTTTTAGAATTTCTAACAAATAATTTATGGGATATTAGGTAAAATATTAGGATGGTCCTTATTGATTTAAACAGGCATCCTCTTTAGCTCTAGAAATGGACTCAAGACTTAATTATTATTATAGAAAAGATTATAGAGATTAATAATCATCCATGATTAAACAAAATCGTTCTTTTTATAATACTTCTTAGAGAAGAAATAATGATGTAACATCAAAGCTTAAGATTTCTTAAATTTAATTAATTTAAATCGATAATATCTGATTAATATAAATTAAATGAAAGAATTAAGGTAGCATATATTGATAGTTTAAATTTTTTTCATAATTTTATTATTTTCTATCAACCACATTAATTTAAATCATTTACCAAGTAATTTATTATAGATAAAAATCACATTTTATTCTTTTTAACATCTAACTAATTAATTGACATCAACCATTATAAATTAAGATGATATTAAATCTATCTTTTGCTCAAATATATTGTCTAAACTTATCATTAAGCTATCATGATAATTAATCTTATTCATATTCTATAAATTAATTTATATAATATATATAACAAAAATTAAACCAGATATGCTACGTCTGCGTTTTTTAACTAATTCTCATACAACCCTAAAAGATACATACACTTGGGACCAATCTGATCCAAACCATGAGAATGCGAGAGGTAGTTTGAAAAAAGATGTTTTATTCCCACAAAAGAGCCAAAATCATAAAGGACCGTTGTAATTCTCTAGGCTTGAAAGAGTCTTATCCTTAAATTGAAAATAGTTCAACTCTTCTGGTTTCATAGAATAAATTTATGATAATATTGAGCAAAATGTCAAAGATCATTAAATCAACTTAATTTCTTTTCTTGAACAACTTTATTACCAATATTTAGGGATTCAAAACTCTCCATCTCTTATACCTCATGGTTGAGAGGGTGGTAAGCAAATTAAATTGAGGTTAAGATATTACTAAACATTTTAATTTATCTGGACTTTAAAGAAATATCCTTATGCACCCTTATATGAGGTTATGAATTTGAAAGATAAAAGCAAATATTTGGTCTTTAATCAAAATTAATGAAAGGATTACTATTAACATTTTTCTTGCATATAATTGCTGGTTTCAATATCATTAATCTAGATAAAGTTGTATTTCTCATGAAGAATATCGAAATTTAGGGTCTTTTTCAACAGAAATTTAATGCTATTAAAAATCGATGAACATTAAATGAATCCAATTCATTCATTTATTCTATCATCTTCAATTTTAAAATGTTAATCCTAACTTATGAAATTTATCCTGAAGCTTAAATTATGGTTATTTTCTTCAAATTTAAGAATTGGAAAGATTCTTCTTGAAACATAACTTCAAATGCTTATAACAATGTTATATTTCTTAACTTGATATTAATCCAATTTTTTTTTCAAAAAATCATCTTTTTCTAAATTACACAAGATTATTTCTCTGTTTCCTAAATATTTTCTTCTGTAAATTAATTTTCTTCGTCTTTCTATGTTTCCTCTAAAA